CTTTCTGTGGAGTTTTGCAAGCTTTTATCTATGGTGGGTAAAATGAGGACCCAGATTGTTGGGGGCAATATGCTGACTCTCTGTAAACCGCTTAGAGAGGCCTGAAAGGCCTATGAAGCGGTATATAAGTCTACTGCTATTGCTATTTTCGGAACTGATTTTAAACATGAAAAAGTACTTGATTCCTTGGAATTGTTTCCAGGGTTCTTATACTGCTATTTGGTTGCCCATATTATATAATCAGTAAATTAATCATTGTGCTATTGGTAATCTATAGCTTTCAATACTTTCATTATAGTGAAACAATGCGTAAGCCAAAATAAACTCTAGATAATTAAAACTGTTACGCATTTCTGTTTTCAGAAACAGGTGTAAGAAGGCCAAAACCACCCCATATCATCTTGACTCTCTTTCCTTCCTTCCTGTCTACCTAATAACTCCAACAATAAAAACGAAAGCTTAAAATCTTTGTCACCTAGGCTGAAAGCAAAGCATGTCTTAACATAGATAAAACTGGCATATGTCACCAACTTCACTAAATAAGAAAATCCCCTCAAGATATTATTTCTTCATTTCAGTAATAAAATACACAAATTCTTCACCCCAAAGTCACTCCCATGACCCACCATAGATAAAAGCTTGCAAAACTCCACAGAAAGTTAAGCTGAATTTCCTCACTATCAGACCAGTGGTACTTTACAGTAATCCCTAGAAGGCAGGCTGAGTCCACAAACTCTCTAAAAATAATACAAGGATTTATTTATAAAAGTACCTCTCTAAAGCTATGATTCATGGCCACCTGTGATTGCTATGACTGACTGTCATGCTCTCAAATTTCACCTCTGCTTCTAGCAACGGTCCTATGTTCTTTGGAACAGCAGGCTCAGAACGGATCAAAAATTTCTTCTAACACAGGGAAAAAGAGGTTACTTGACCAAATCAAGGGAAACTCTGAGTATGCAAAAGAAAGTGCCTCCGGCATTCCCACAACCACACCAGCTGCAAAGTAGAGACTGCTCTTGTTTAAAAAACCAAACATCCTAGTAGTGGTTTTTGCTTAGTGGAGCAACTGCAACTAAGCAACCCAGCACACAAAAATCTCCCCAGAGAACTGTGGGAAAAATCAAAGATTTTTGTCTTTATTTCTGATCTGTCTTTCCATTCCTTCCCACCTTTCTCCAAAGCAGTGAATGTATTTGCAAGTAAGTTCAGCTACAGGCATAGGAAACTTTACAGCATGATGGTTATGAAGTACAAATCCAGCAGGCTGTTATGGACAAAGCTCCCTAAATGCAAAATCTTCCAAAGGTCTAAGAAAAATTTAGGGTATTGTACAGTGGTGGGTTTCAAAAAATTTTAGAACCACTTTTGTAGGTGTGGCCTGCTTTGTGGGAGTGGCTTGCCAGCCATGTGACTGGGTGGGAGTGGCTTGCCAGCCATGTGACTGGGTGGGCATGGCCAAGTTGTAAAATGTGGTGAGACTCACTTAACAACGCTTTTGCTTAGCAACCAAAATGTTGGCTCAGAAACTCTGGCATTTGAAGCATGCAAGTCTTAAAGCTGTCAAGTTACAAGACCCTTGCACCCCTAACCCTTTAGAAAAAAAACCCAGGGGTGTTCAAACTTGACAGCTTTAAGACTTGTGGACTTCAACTCCCAGAATTCCTCCTCTCGCTCTTCCTTTTGACGATGTGCGGACGGGCAGGGGGAGGGAGCTGGAACCCGTTCTAAACGGCACTGTAGATATGTGGAACCTCTTCTATAGAAGAGGTTAGAACTAGCAGGAACCCACCCCTGGTATTGTATTAGTAGCAAGACAAAGAAGTCAATCAGAAATCATAAGAAACCAGTTTCATTAATTTGAATGGAAATAAACTGATAAATTATCAGTTCTCTAGTACAAAAGAAAAAAAACATTGAAATAACTGAAACTGAAGTTATAGTAATGCCAAGAATAAAATTATCAGATATTTTTAAGTACCAAGGTAATGTTATGAGGTACAAATATATGAACCTTTATCATATTGCAGGTCTCAATAAGCATCAACATAAAGCACAACAAAAATCTGAACTTCATATAAAACTAAAATAATTAGCCTATACTGTATGTATATACAAACATTTTAAACTTCTCTGGTGGGTGGCGGGGTAATACAGCACCAAAACCTGTTTCAGGTAGCCCTGTTTCCCTGAGGGAAAAAAAGAGAGACAGCTTTCATATTAAAAGAAAAATTAAAGGAAAAAGCAAGCTTTGTTTTAGATCCAATTGGCAATGCTGGATGGACGGATGGGCAGGCAGCCTTAAGGTAATCAATTCAATAGGCTTTACAAAGAAAAAAGTGTATGGGAGTACAACCTTAGAAAAAACTAAGTATGTGTTTGTGTGTATAAATAACGTTTTTTGTTTCTTTATTGTACTTTGCATTGTTGCACTGCCCTCTACTGGATAAATGTATTCAAATACATTTATCATATCATTATTTAAACATAACAAAAAATCATTATTACATTAACTTTGTAGTTCTCAGGATAAATTTTATGTTTAAAATCAGTTACTGTTTTCTCCTTTTATTTAATGTTTTGTGAACATTAATGAACTATAAAATATATCAGAGATTAGATGGAGTAATTCTTGAAATAAAGGATTAATAACTCCCAAAGTTTTTAAAAACAAATATAAGGTAGAAAGAAATAGGGCAAAAAAAATTACCATGATATATTTCATATGATAGTATTTTTTTAAATTTTCATAGATATGAAAATATCAGAAATACCGGTCAACAACAATTGTGTGAAAGCCATCTTCATTCAGCATAGGTTTCAAAATCTCTAGTTCTTTATATTCTTTTTTGCTACAGGGAGATGACAGATAATCTTGATATGTTGTTATCCATTTCTAAAAGTAAATGTTACAACAAGGAATCATTACATAATTCCAATGCAGTACGAAAATATTTTTTTTCAAGTACTCTAATAGCCAACCCTTAACATCTGTTGAAATCCTGGAGATATAACTTCAGTCATAATTTATGCATTTCTACTCCAATCAATATTTTTAAAACCAATTGATGTATATGATGAAAATATGTGTGTTTTATTCTTACTGTTATAATGTCAACATTTGACTAGTGAATTAATTGGGCATTTTCTATTCACAAATAAAGCATCCCAGAGTTGTCTTTCATGGCTGAAAATAAACATTGCAACTAAATGATAATAAAAAAAATCTACAAAACTGCGCAATCCGTTTTTGGGGGTATTCTTGAAATTATTGTTATTGGTTGAAATTAATATAAGTAGTTTTAATATCTATCTTGAGTCCTCTAAAATGTGTACCCAATATTTATTAACTTAATAACAAAATACAGGTGTATTCTATGAATGGCAGTGCTGGTTGGTAATATGTTGATAATAAATAAATATGAATGGGATACATCAACATAATCAAACATGCTGTCAACAATAAGCTATCTTACTTGATCCATGTTTCCAAATCTCCAGTAAGTAGATTGACATAGGTTTTTAGAACCCAAAGGAACTTGATGGATATCATAATCCTTAGGTTCAGCCTCTCTGTTCTGGCACCTTTATAATAAATAATAAATAGTAATACTAAAATTACTATATTTTAAAAGTTACTAATATCAACATTACTACCAACATAACATTACAAGTCAAACCCAAATATGTCTTTAGGCAGAGCCGATTACATTTTTATTTTAATCAAAGTACCATACAAAAACACTTCTCAGGAAGTGTTAAAAGTGTCTAAATAAATCTGAAATAAAAAAACAAAATAAACCCAAAAATTTGAAAAAGAAAGTAAATTTCAAATATTATTACTAACTCAACAACTAAGCTTCATATTGAAAATAGCAAGAATGAATGACAGTTTGTGGCTTAGTCACATCTGGTGAGGTTTTTTTTAAAGAGAGAATAATCTTAAACCACATCAGACCAGTCAACAGTACTTTTTTCTTACCAGCCAGACACAAGAGTGGGTCTCCCATAATTTGCTGAATTGGAGCGCAAGGTCAGCGCTCCTTTGCGCTCCATCACATCTGGTGGCCCTAATTCCATCTTCAAATGATTTTGGATTTTCACAACTTATACAGGACCACCAAATCTGAAATTAATTCAATATTATTCCTCCTACTGTAGGGCAGTTCACAGCAGAATATTCATCTTCATTTGGGATGAGAGTATTATATCTAAGAAATTAATCTTGAGACCAGTACTTCACTCCCTCTGTATTATTTCTCAAAGCTCCAAGCTTTCATTGGCTTATTCTCTCAATTCAACATATTAAATGAATAGCGAGGAAGGAAGGAAGGAAGGAAGGAAGGAAGGAAGGAAGGAAGGAAGGAAGGAAGGAAGGAAGCCTTCACAGCTTTCATTCTTTGCTGGGCACATTAGTCTCCATGGTGACCACTGATGCTATAGAGGAAAATAACAAACCTCAAAATCATTCCACTAAGAGGCCGGAACTACTTTTGGGTCTGTTCTTTGTAAGTCAAGGGGAAAGCTACAAATAATTCTTACAAGGTAATACTATGGAAATATCCAAAATGTGAGATACCATCCCAAGCTTGCCATCAAGCCTTCTTGAGATAGAATTGTGAATATATATGTGTTTGTGTGTGTGTGTGTGTGTGTGTGTGTGTGTNCCTCAGGCTTGTCAAACTGGTGGCCCACAGGCCGGATATATTATTCGCAGGCTACACCCACTCTGGCTCCACAATGGCAAAAAACATCATGATACGTCATGATCTTGCCGGTGTTTTACCTTATCTTATCATTTGTAGACATACGTAGCTTATCTATGGTTTCTAGTACAGCCCAGAGTTCTATGTTCTATAACTTTATAGTTTGTATAGTTTTATTCAGCTTTATTTCTATTCTGATTTCTTTTTAATGTAATGCTTTTCTTCTTCAGGCCGATGCCTGACGCATCACATATGTGGCTTGTTGGGTACTACTAGAATTTGGATTATTCCAGATTCCACTTCCTCAGATTCAGTCCCTGAAGTTGTATTGACCATAAATGTTGGTCCCCTTTGAGATTTCAAGGCTGGGGATGGTGGGGATGCTTCTGATCCTGTTGTGTCATTTCCCGTGTTTTAGGGCACTCTGCTGCTGGCCCCAGTCTAACACATCTACAACTCAAATGCTGTACTATTACTAATGTACTAATTTTGGACATAGCTTAACTGTTTTCAAAATAAAATCTGCTAAATTATAGAGCTCCAACTGAAATCTTACTGTAAATTGTCATAATATTTGCCGAGTAGTAGCTGCTTATTAAAAATCCTGTTTTCTATAAGAGTCCAATACCCTTTATTTCCCGATAGTCTTTCTATTCCCATGTACTTACATATGGTATATAGTCATATGGTGGACAATAGTCTAATCGGTATGACGTATCCATAAACCTGTAAAACATAAACCATGTAGTAAGATTAGCTCCACACTATTTTCTAAACTATATTTACATGCTCATTAAATATAATTGAAAATGTGGCTAATCTTTTTCTTAGAAACCAAAATCAAAGCATTTTTTCTCGTGTATTCAAAGCAATAAAAATATCTTCTAGCCACTATTCTATTTCCCATTATAAATTATTTCTGCAGATGTCAGTTTTTCCTTTTCTTTTTTTGGAGAAAACATCCTATAAGATCTGAACATATAAAACATAAACATTTGCAAACATCTATTTGATTAATTAATATCTTACACAATGACAAATTGAAGATTCTTAGATGGTTGCAAATGTTTCTGAAGAGGAGAATTACGCTTGTATGAAAAGTCTTACTGTTTACATTGAGTTAAAATATTTCTATATCTTCAGCCTCACTAAGGCTTACAAGTAAACAGAATAAATGTTCTACTGTCTTAGCAATTAGTTAAGGTTTAAAATTATGTCTTCAAATTTATAGTACAACTACCACAATTCAAGGATGAAGTTGGATTTGAGATATGTTTGATATTTTCATAACTCTGAGTACAGGGGTGGGTTCCTGCCAGTTCTAACCACTTCTATAGAAGAGGTTCCACAAATCTACAGTGCCGTTTAGAACCCGTTCCAGCTCCCTCCCCCTGCCCATCTGCACATCATCAACCTGAAGAGTGAGAGGAGGAATTCTGGGAGTTGAAGTGTGCAAGTGTTAAAGCTGTCACGTTTGAACACCCCTGGGTTTTTTTTTCTAAAGGGTAGGGGTGCAAGGGTCTTATAACTTGACAACTTTAAGATATGCA